GCATCATAGCAGATCCCGTCAACAGGCTCCAAAGCCTTGGCAAATTGACGCGCGAGATGTTGACGACGCCTTTGACGAGCCCTCTTCGTCAACACTGGTGCACTTTCAACGGGCAACTCTTTGAATTTCGAGGAGTTGTCACGAATGTTGGATCTGGTTTCTTCGGAAGCCGACGGATCGTTGCGAGGTGTAACTACAGCAGCGACGGCGGAGAGATCGTCTTCTTGGGTCTTCAGATCTGAAGACCAGCGGATCTTCCTGGAGGAGGAGGCCTTCCTGCACCTGCAAGGAGAGGCAGATCTGGAGGAGGAGGAGGAGGAGACATACTCCTCGAACTTCTGCTGGTCGAACTCGTATTCGACCTCTTCGAGCACCGGGATCTTGATCATCGGCTGCGGCACGACAACTTCGGCAGCAAAGCTGTTGGCTCCCACTGTGGTCGCCAGTTTGTTTACGGTGAAAGTTACTGTCTTCATTGCTATCGAATCTATTACAACTTTAGTCGTTATAATAAACTCGAATAAAATAAAAAGTTTATCTTTTTATAAGATCTCCTTACACAATGAAAATAAAACAAGTTTACAACTTTATCAAACAAACGCAGAGATCGTTTATCGGTCTTCTGCTTGCGTGGGATCTTTGCCTATGCCGGGGTTTATCCGTGGACCACCGTCGATCAGATCTGATTACTGAAAAATTGGGTAGAGCTTCGTCTATCCGCGAAGGGATCGAGAAACTGTAGCGCTTATCTCAGCAACAGCGAGATAATTGCTCTTCTTAGAATTACCACAACGGGATAATCCTAAGGATCGGATGCGGGTGATGCAGATCTGACGAGCTCTTCTTCTTTATGCCGACGAACTTGATCAGATCTCTACTCCTCCTCCTCTCTGAAATTCGTGCACCTCTTACTGTTTTCAGCAAAAGTTGAATTTGTTGTCGAATTCATTATATCTTCGGTTGATTACAATAAATTCAAAGAAAACAGCCTTTTTATAAGACTCTTTTACACAACAAAAAGAAAACTACAACTCTTGAGAAAATAAACACAGGATCGTTGTTTGGATCGCTGCTTTCGTGGGTTCTTTGCCTGTGCCAGGAGCGCGTTAGCTCGTGGACCACCGAATCACAAATCGTGAAGAGGGGTTTACTGATTCTTCCTTCGTTATCCAAGAACTTAGATCTCACGATATCTTATCGAAGTAAGATAGTCGTTCTTCTTGAAATCAAGTCAAAGCCTGAATGTCAAGGGATTGCTCCAAGAACTTAGATCTCTGCTCTCTCTGCTCTGGAATACTCTAACAAATGCTCGATCCTCGTCAGAAGTGACCCTAGGGGGGTATTTATAGCCTCAGGGGTCTGTAACTGCAAAAACTCAGCCCCGGGAGACAGTAAATTTGCTGCCTCGCCCAGCGAGACAGTAAATACTGTCTCGGAAAATGACAGTTTTTCGCTGTAACCGCTCTCCCACGTTTCAAACTCCGTTATTTTAGCAGTTATCCACGTGATTTTCGCCCACGACGTTTCCCACGTCCCTTGGCAGTTAATGGACACGTGTAGGGCAGTTACAAAGGTGGTTTTGACTATTTCAACATTGTCTCGCTGGCGAGACAGCAAACACTGTCTCGCTGGCGAGACAGCAAAAAGAACAGTATGAAATCCTTTCTTGTGATTTTTTGAGTTATCTACTCTATGTTTGGGACATCTATTAGTATTTTTTGATGCCTACAGATACCCCCTCCAAAGTATTCCAGACTCATTCTTTTATAGAGGAGCATGGGATACTTTGGATAAGATAGATTTTACTTACGATCCCTTCAATGCTTGGCTGAGTAGATCGTGTGGAAGGACTTGTAAATGGCTTCAATGCTTGATCTCTTCTGCTCCTCTTTCTCGTTTGGCAGGAGACTATCGCTAACGAATATCGGCTTTGGATTATCTTCGTCAGCCATATTCACCTGAATTATTTGGTCTTCGGTAGGAGGTTCTCTTTGTTCAAACCTATCACCGTACTGCAGATTCAGATGATGAACCCAAGGGTCTTCCCAAGTTAGCATTTGGCCGTCTTCCTCTATTGTGGCAGGATCAACCGTAGCCATGTTCGACATTAGGCCTTTGAATATTTCTTCAAGCCTAACATCAGAATCCTAATCTGTAGAATCTAACGAATATCCATCTTTACTCAGATTGGATGACTGGTTGATGACTTTTAACAACATTCGTCATTGGATGAAGAAACATAACCTAGACCTCTCTTATATTCATAATAATTGTCAGGCTTCCCTCCTGGTACATAGGCGGGATGGGGTGGAATCCACCCCCTGCCTTTGCAGGTAGGACAAGGGTTGTTCTGAAGGAGTCCTGGATGTGCTTTTTTTATCATGTAAGACGATCAAAGCGGCATGTGTATGTCAAGGATATCATATAGTTCCTACATTATATCAGTAAGACAAACAAGTACTCTAAATCTTCATTTATTGCATGATCGGTAAGTTGCCAGTTATAACTTTCGTCTGATGATTCGCCACCATCAAGATCAATTACAAGAGATTCAATGTCATTGAATACAAGACCTTCATCATAATTGAGCATGGTTTTGGTATCAGCTTCTTCTCTGCGGTCCGTACCTTTGGCCGATGGTTCAGTATTGGATTCAACACCATAAAACAGGGAGTCAGTAAAGTAATTTTCTAACCCCTTAAACGGTTACTTATTCGCAACCACCATCTTGACATCATTATTAGTATCAAAATATTTCAATTGGAAAGGAAGCAACTCCAGGTTCCAGTGAAAGAGCTCATGTGAGAGGACTTCATCCGGGTGTCTTAGGACAAGACAATATTCCTCAGAACGAAAAGATAGTGCAAGCCAACACTGTGAAGAACCGGTTAGCGGCAGCAGGAAAAAGATTGCCCAGAGAGACTTTCAGGTGTTATGGATGGGTCCATTATTCTGGGAACAAGTGGTGGTGGACCAGGATGACCCAATATGTGTTGAAACGTTTTGGGCGAGAATTAGCAGGATTAGGGTTGGATGTCCCGATTCGTGCCACCATGCATGGCTTGCAGAGCAGTGTAAGTCATTTCCTTTGTTTGTTCGAGATCTACAACCCGGACACCAATACATTCTTTACCAAGAACGGGGAACTTGGACTACCACTGCATGAAATGATGCAAGTGTCTGCTTTGCCTATGGGCGATGTCCCATATCAAGAGTTCTTTCCGACCACCAATCAGCTGATTAAGATGAAAGATAGCTCGACTGCGACCTATGACACTCTATGGGAATTGACCTGTCATTATCATATAGCCATGGCCGAGATGGAGCCCAAAGCCAGAAAGAAGTCTCCTCAAGTCAGTTTAAAACAATTCGCTGATTATCTCTTCAAGAATCTGGATGTCCGTTCGGCAGATGTGTGCGGATTGTCTCCCTTGAGTACGGATGAAATTAACCGTTTGTTAGAGAAAACCAACGCGCATTCTTATACTTCGCGCTCAGAAGATGGATTTTTGCACGGCACTAAGTTCCGCTCTTATCTGTGGCAAGCTGGTGTTCCGATTAGCCCTACTGCTCTGCTGGCGGGTTTTCTAGCCTTATGGTTAAAGAGATGTGTAGTTCCCCATCAATCCGCAGATGCGATGCCAATGGAAGTGTTGTATCCGGCCGTCCAGCTGGCTACAGGTCGCAAATTATCTTTGCTTCCCGCTATGGTGGCCGATATTCATAGTGGATTGCGGCAACTAATCTCCGCATTTACCCAGGAGAAAAAGAAACCTTCCGCCAGCCTGTCCGTTCCGAAGCTGGAGCTGCCCTATACTTACTTAATGGCCTGGTTGGTACTTCATCGACCAGATTTAATGGAGGCTCCTGATACGGTAGATCTCAGTGTCCCTCTGTTGCAAAATCTCGAGAATTGCAAATGGAGCAAACATCGAGAGCCGGACATAACGAGGCAGTTTAAAATTCACAAATGTTGGGAATTTTTTCCTTGCTTCCCTCAGTTCTCCGGTACTTACAACACTACCTTAGTGGATGCTGAAGACCCAAGGCAGAATCGTACCATCTTGGATGTCGGGTGCTTCAGATGGTTGATGAATATTCGACCTGGATATCTGTTGTTCAGGATAAGGGATGTTTGCCACATCGAACCCTATCTTCCATGTCGATTCGCCCGTCAGTTCGGGTATGATCAGATATACATCGGCAACCCGAATCGTCACCTCAGCTTTCGAGGTGGACTTATCGACGGGGCGAGAGCTTGGTTTTGGAGCATTGCCGGCTGCACCAATGTTGAATTTGATCTCCCCTTAGAGACGCCGCCTCTACGGATGACTTTCCTCTTTTGCAAATGGCTGATAGCCACCAATATTGCCACTCGACGTAGGAGGATATCAGACTCAGAGGAGGAAATAGCTCCACGACAAGCAACAGAACCGCCTCGTGAAGCTGTGATGTCGCCTCGAGGAAAAGAGGCTGCTGAATCATCAAGGAAAGGAAAGGAACCGGCTCTCCCAGTTGATAGTGAAGAGGAGTTTGATAGTGAAGCAACCGAAACTTCAGAAGGGGAAGACGAGAATGAATCAAGTTCTGAGGAAGTATCTGGCCTTCCCGATTCATTCTTTGATAGAGGACTTGTAAGGCCTTCTGTCGCTCCGACCCAACCACAAGCTGCTCCAAAGAAACGTAAGGAAAGAGTCGTCATGGAACATCCTAACCGGATGACGGTAGAAGTTCTTAGTTGCGACGAAGAGGATGAAGAGGATATGGTGCCTCTCATTCGTCGGCAAATATCTCGAACTTCTACTCAAGCTCAAACTCAAGTTTCTCCCCGAGCTGAGTTACGCACCAAACATCGTCATGAAGGTTCTGGTGCACGCCCTCTGAAGAAACAGAAGAAAGCTGTTTCTAAACCGCGCGTTCATCTTCCTGCTGTAGAAGAGACATCCGGTCGTAGTGTTTCTTCTGATGAACAAGGTAGCGATTTGTTTTTATAGCTTTTACACTTTTTTGATGTTCAAACTTATTTCATGTTCAACTTCTGCAGGGAGTCGAGAGGAAGGAGAATTGCCAGCTGATGCTGCTTCTCCCGGAGGTATGGAAATTGAGGAAACAAGCTTCGTCCAACAAATGCATGATGCTCTGAAGGAAGGATCGGCTGATGTTCCACCCACTCCTGACGTTGATCCATCAGCTGCGGACACAGGTACTGATCTTTCTCCTCTCGGAAGAGAAATCCGAGAAATGAATGAGTCGGACCGTGTGCCTCCTCTAATGACCTGTGCGCTTTCTCTCCTTTTAGTCAAATTAAAAGAAGCAGGTACCAGTAGTGGAGCTCTCGAATCAGCCCCGACCAACGAAGGTAAAATTAATTGTCTTTTTGAGCAAATTCGTCTAAATTTATGTGTCATTTACGACTCAACACATTTTGTAGATGTCACAATGCACGAATCTGTTGGAGGAGAGACCACGCATACAACAGAGGTCGAGGAATTCAATGAACATCACCTCGATTTCAATCTCTCTGAAGGCGACCATGAGTATATCTCCGACTTATTATCGGGGAAAACTCCTGGTGCAGCCACGGAATCCAGTGTTGGAGTCGGTTCAACAGAAGCAGGTCCTTCTGAAAGTAAGACCTTTATTCTGTAAACTCCATATATGCATACATATATATTTTAACTTGATTAACCATATAAGTATTTGAATTATAGGACCAGTTACTGGAACTGATACTACTATCATCACCGAAACATCTGAACAACCGGAGGGTAGTGAACTCGTGCCATGGGCAGGAACTGAGGTTGATTTGCAATCATCAGTTCTTGAACCTCAACCTTCTACTCCTATGGACCCCATGATGATAGAAGTCACTGTCACTCCCCAGATTAGTCCAGTTGCAACAAAAGCGAGACCAACTGAAGAAGTTGGTACATCGGCCGATGTTGTGACTAGAATTGGTGAGTTTCATTTATCGTTTGTTTCAAGCTCGGATTATCATTATGCTCATTGTAATCCTCCTGTTTGTAGAATCTCCTCTTAAAGAGTCTCTTAGTTTGGACCCGCCGTCCTCTGAGACTTTAGTTGAAAAAGTCCCTGATGTAGCGGGTGCATCAACAGCTACCATTCCTGAACCAATCTTGACTGTTCAGGAATCCAGATTATCATCCTTGAGCGAACCAAGTCATGCTGAAGGTTCTTCCGTCGAATTTGGTATGCTTTAGTTTGTTGTCTTGTATGCATATATATATACTGTACTGACTTATTTGACTTTCTCGCAGTTCCTTCATCATTATCAACTCAAATCCAAGCGTTATTGGTTGATGACGATCCGGACAAGTCTGTTATCTGCTCTAATCTCCAAGGCTTCATCTCCTTTTTGAACTCTATGGTCGATCGCATTCTCTTCAAAAGATCGTATTTTGAGAATTATAAAAAATCTTTTGAGCGTTTTATATCAGGGTTCAGAGAGGAAGGGTATAACGACTTAGCCGATTCAGTCACCGCTTATTTGGTTGATTTGAGGCAACATATTGAACTTCTGCAAACTCTTCGCACCAAAGGCGTACCTTTTTACATCGCTTCTCATATGGAATCCAGGCTGCAAGCGTGGCGTGATTCTCAAGAATCTGCCAACTCCGAACTCCAACAGTTAAGAGCCCACAGTCATCAGCTTAGGGTGAATATTGGCAAAAGGACACAAGCCAAGGTCAACCTACGCCGAGATATAAAATCGAGTCGAGCGGAAATAGCTCGCTTAGAGGAGGAACTTGCAATGGCCAAGGATGCTCTTGATGTCTTGGAGTCTGAGTTGACGCAGGAAATTCATGTTGAGGAAGACCTGTTACAGCAACTGAACTTTCAAGATAAAATAATTGCTGAAAAGGAACAAGAGGTCGCCGCGCTTCAAAGTGTTGATGAAGAAGCTTTCAAAATTAAATTGACGGCTGAGCTTGAACAGACTTATGCGTTAGAGCTGTCAAAACTTGAAAATCAAATTAGTCAATATAAACTCTTGTAATCGGAGAACATTATATTTTTGTTTGTAGCTTTGTTTGAAAATTCTTGGTCAATATAGTGAACCTTTTTGCTCATTATATTGAATCTTTTTGCTCATTGAGGTTTTTTATTATGATTACTCATTCTTATTTAGAATAAATAACCATAATACTTATAGGATTTTTGGCAAATCCTCAGCCATCAACGGATTTGATATACCTTTACCGATTACCGTTTGAATCGGGCTAGTATGTGAATTATCTAAGTCCGTTTCACATATAACGTTGCGCTAAAAGAATTAAACTCTTTTAGACTTTGAACTACACTGTTGAATATGTAGGCTACATGTGTTAGATGTAGGCTTATCTCTAATAAGGGATAGAGATAACATCCCCCATGTGTGAACAACATGGATTTCAAAGTGTGAATAGGTTGCATTTCCTATATAGGACAACGAACCCAAAATCGGAGAGAAAAAGAATTGTATATTCCATTTCTCAATCTCTTGTTTGTTGGTAGAGATAAACCCATACTCGGAGAGGAAGAATTTTATATTCTATCTCCTGGTCTCTTGTTTGTTGGTAGAGATGAACCCAGAATCGGAGAGGAAGAATTTTATATTCTATCTCCTGGTCTCTTGTTTGTTGGTAGAGATAAACCCAGAATCGGAGAGGGAGAATTTTATATTCTATCTCCTGATGAAAAGGAAACTCACAGTGGAATCTCCACTTAGAGAAAATAGGTTGGTTTGAATAACCCTAACTGTCATAAGGTTTGATTACTCAATTCAAAAGTAAACCTTTCGTTCGCAAAAATGAATCGAAAGGAGATTTTGGTTGTGGTCCTAACTGTAGTAAGGTTTGACCAAGTGGGAATTTTGAGACGATCCTAACTGTAGGAAGGTTTGATCGCTCAATTTGTGGACCTCTCGTTCATGGAACGAATCGAGAGGGGATTTTGGCTTTGGTCCTAACTGTTTAAAGGTTTGACCAAGTGAGGAATAGGAGTAGGGTGCAAATAACAATGAGTTTGTTGATTTGCACAAACTAATCGGTGGGAAATTTTGATTTTAAACATAAGAATTTGACACGAAATAATCTGTCGACTGATACATACTGATGATCGTTGATCAATCCGACCGATGGGGGTTTCATAGCGTGAGATTACAAATCATCAAATCTCATCTTCCATGATTATATTACAAGGTTTTGCTGAGGAAAGATTAACTATCATTAAATCTCATCTCAACAAAAGTTGTAAAAGAACAATGAATTATTCAAATGACCAGCTTCTCATTTAAAATAGTGAACTGATCTCGGGTTATCCTGAAATATCCTATATAGGATTCTCTAGGAACTTCCCGCTTTACACAGGTTATCCTGAATATATTACGGATAATATTTTTTCAGGAACTTCCCATTTATTGGCATCATCAATTTGTTGCCATCTTGGGTAACCAGGCGATATGCACCGTTCGAATAGACTGTTTCTATCACAAACGGTCCTTCCCATTTAGGTTCAAATTTGCCTTTCTTCTTAGAAGTGAGAATCATAGGTCTTCGAACGGCGAGAACTAGATCTCCTTCTTTAAAGCTTCGTCGTCGGACCTTTTTATCGAAAGCCCGAGAAATTCTAGCTTGATAAAACTCGATTTGTTGTTGAGCTTCCAAGCGTTTCTCATCTAACATCTCTAATTCCTCGAGACGTTTCTGATGATGTTCTTCCGTCGTCATTCCCGTTACGAGAGCGATACGGAGAGAAGGAATCTGCACTTCCAATGGAAGAACGGCTTCACACCCATACGTTAAAGCATACGGGGTGGCTCCGGTAGGCGTGCGGACGGTCGTACGATAAGCCCAGAGAGCTTCGCCGAGTTTGTCATCCCAATCTCGCTTATTGGTTTTCACCAATTTTGCCAGGATTTTGATGATAGTCTTGTTAAAAGCTTCGGCCAATCCGTTAGCTGTAGGATTATAAGCAGTCGACGAAACGTCTTTAATCCCGAATTTACCGCAGAACTTGATGAATGCGTTGCTCACGAACTGAGGACCGTTGTCGTGCACTATTCGCCTTGGCACACCGTACCGATATATGATATGGTGTTTGATAAATTTGATGACATTGGTCGTCTTTACTTCTCTAAGTGGAACTGCTTCTGCCCATTTCGAGAAATAATCGGTGATTGCCAGAATGAAACGGTCCCCTTTAACCGAAGGTGGAAAAATAGGACCTACTATATCCATTCCCCAAGTTTCAAACGGCCACGATGTCGCCGAAGGATGCAGATATTCAGGGGGTATGTGCATATAATTTGCATGCAATTGACACACTACACATTGTCGTGCGTAATCGACTGCGTCTTTCACCATAGTTGGCCAATAATATCCGATTCTCCTAAGTCGGTCGCAGAGTTTAGGACCGGGCTGATGTGCACCGCATATCCCATTATGTGCCTCTTTGAGTGCTTGTTCCGCTTCTTTACTGGATAGACAACGAAGTAAAAGACCATCATAAGCTCGTCGATACAACGTTTGCGATGTGGCATTGTAATAAAATCTCGGCGCTCTTCGCCGAATCGATTCCCTTTCTCTTACATCTTCAGGTAATATACCATGTAAGACGTAGTCAATAATAGGAAAACGCCAATCTCGAACTTCGGGTTCAACTCCAGTTGAGTATACCTCTTTAGCATTCGAATCGTAGATTGGAACAATAAGCTGATGAGTCCTCACTGTAATTAATTGCTCTGTTTCGGGAGGTTGAGCCAAGGATACTGACAATGCTGCCAATGCATCCGCGTATGTATTTTGGAGACGCGGAACGTACTCGATGAAAAATTCTTCAAACGAGCTTGCTATTTCGATGGCCACCTGGTGGTATGGAATCAGGTCTCGATTTCTGACTTCATACTCTCCTCGTATTTGATTAACCACCAGTTGAGAATCTCCAAAAGCTTCAAGGTATTCGACCCCCAGCTCTTTGGCGAAATTAAGTCCGATTATTAATGCATTGTATTCAGCCACGTTATTAGAGCATGGTTCAGTCAGTGAATATGCTCTAGGCAAGACGTGCTTTTCCGGGGAAACTAAAACGACCCCCACTCCTGAGGAGATTTTAGAACATCCGGGTGCACTTGCCACGTTGGTTGATCGGGAAGCCCCATCGAAGTACAATTGCCACACTTGTTGATGTGAGGTGGTATTAACTTCGTGAGTTTCATCTGGCAGGTCGTCGTACAATTCGACTACATCCTTCGTAGGGTTTTCTGCCAGAAGGTCGCAAATAGCTCGTCCTTTAACAGATTTCTGCTGTTTGAAGTACAAGTCATATTGCGATAAGAGTAAAGCCCATCTGGCCAAACGCCAATTCATGGAAGCCGGTTGGGTCATGAACACTCGGACGGGATTTATGTTGGAAATGACATAAATCGTCTGTCCGACTAAATAATGTCGCATTTTCTGAATCGCGAATACCAAAGCGAGGCATTCCTTCTCAATCATCGGATAACGAGACTCAGCTCCTACCAATGTACGACTCAGATAATACACAGCTTGCTCGTGACCGTTATCGTCGTCTTGTGCAAGTAAGGCACTTAACGAATGGCTCGTCGCTTTGACATAAATCAAAAACGGCTTGCCCGATTTCGGTGCAACGAGAATAGGTGGATTCGCTAGATATTTCTTGATATCTTCGAATGCCTTCTGACATGCTTCATCCCAAATGAACGACACGCCTTTCTTTGCGAGTTTGGAAAACGGTTGACATTTTCCGGACAAGTTCGATATAAACCGACGGATATATGCTAATCGACCTTGCAATCCTCTGAGTTCTTTAAGATTTCTTGGAGGCTGCAGTTCGTTTATCGCCTTCACCTTATCAGGATCAATATGAATACCTTTTGTGGTGACGACGAATCCAAGAAATTTGCCGCTCGACATTCCCAGGAAGGATTTAGTCGGGTTCATTTTCAGCTGATGAGTTCTCATAAGCTCGAACATTGTCTTTAGATCGTTAATGTGGTCATTTTTATCACGACTCTTAACGACTAGGTCATCAACGTAGCATTCGACTGTCTTCCTAAGGTGTTCTTGAAAGATCTTCGTCATCGCCCGTTGATACGTAGCACCGGCGTTCTTCAAACCGAAAGGCATAACGGTATAACAAAAGACGCCAAGAGGTGTTCTGAAAGCTGTATGCTTTTCATCATCCGGATGCATCTTGATTT